TCCGGGGAACCACTCAGTGAAGTGTTTGCCATGCAAAATAAGGATGTGCGTCCATTGCTCCCCAAGTACTCACGTAAAAAGCCGTGTGTGAGTGAGCGGGGCGGGGCGGTGGTGGCCCATGCCTTTTAGCCCAGTGCTTGGGAGGCAGAGGCAGGTGGATCTCTGTGAATCAGTCTACAAATCGAGTTCCAGGACAGCCAGGACTGTTACACAGAGAAACCCTGTCTTGAAAAATTAAAAAAAAAAAAAAGTTCAGTGTGGTAGCCCACATTTGTAATCCCACTGCTGGGAAGCTGAGACAGGATCCCTGGTGGATCCCTGGTGGATCCCTGGCCAGATAGCCTGGCTGAATCCAGGAGTCCCCCAGGACAGTGAGAGACTCTGTCTCAGAAAACAAGGTGAATGACCCCTAAGGAACAATGCCTGGGGTTGCCCTCCGGCCTCCAGACACACAAACACGAGTTTACACAAACGTATATGAACATGCACACACACACATCTGAGTTTAACACACCTATATGAACATGCACACACACACACATCCGAGTTTACACACACCTATATGAACATGCACACACACACATCCGAATTTACACACACCTATATGAACATGCACACATACACATCCGAATTTACATACACCTATATGAATATGCACACACACAATTCAAGTTTACACACACCTATATGAACATGCACATACACATCTGAGTTTACACACACACACACACACATACACACACATATCCATAAAAACTAGAAGAGATGTCTCCCAGCTTTTATGGAAGAGCTGTGTGACCCAAAGGTTGTGTTTTGACCAACAAGACACAGACAAGTGATGGTACCAGCTCTCGACCCAGCAGACATGACACCTCCAACCCACTCTGAGCAGTGTTAATAAGAGGGGCCACCTTCATGCAGCACCAGCCACCTCTGCACTGGGAAGTGAGAGCGAACTTCATTTCCGATGTGTTGGAGCTGCTGTGACTTCAGGTCTTATGTTTTCCACTCTCTCTCAACTACAATGAAACACCCAAGGCAGGCTGCTTTTGCAAAGGGGGGAAAAAAAGCAGAGGGGGAAGGGTCCTCTTCTTCCAGAGGACCCAGGTTCAGTCTCCAGCACCCACATGGCAGCTCACAATGGTCTCTAACTCCAGTTTCAGGGGATCTGATGTCCTCTTCTGGACTCTGCAGGACACGAGGCAGGCTTGTGGTACAGAGCTATACATTCAGGCAAGCACTCATACACAGAAAATAACACACCAATTAATTTAAAAAAATTTTAAGGGCCGGGTGGTGGTGGCGGCGGCGGCGGTGATGGCCGCCGGCTCACGCCTTTAATCCCAGCACTTGGGAAGCAGAGGCAGGCAGATCTCTGAGTTTGAGGCCAGCCTGGTCTACAGAGTGAGTTCCAGGACAGACTCCAAAGCTACACAGAGAAACCCTGTCTCAAAAAACTAAAAAAAAAGAAAAAAAGTTCAAGGCCAGCCTGGGCTAGATAGTGATTCTGAGGCTAGCCCAGGCTGCAGGAGACCTTGTATTAAAAGACAAACAAACAAACAAACAAAATAAAAAGACAAACACAAACCTAGGAATTGTTCTCTCCCAATGTGGAAGACTAAAATTCAGGTGGGGACTAGTTTGTTCCCTGCAGGGGGGGGGGGCCTCAGGGTCTGAACCTTCATACCCCCTTTCCTGAAGCCCTCTGAAACCTCTAAGGGAACAGCAGTTCTCAACCTGTGGGTCATGACTCTTTCACAGTGTCACCTAAGACTTTTTTAAATTTATTTATTTTTATTTTATGTACATTGGTGTTTTGCAATGGGTGTTGGGTCCCCTGGAACTGGAGTTACAGACGGTTATGAGTTGCCATGTGTGTGCTGGGAAGTGAACTCAGGACCTCTGGAAGAGCAGCCAGTGCTCCTAACCTCTGAGCCATCTCCAGCCCCGAAGTATCAGATCTTTACATTATGATTCATAACAGGAACAAAATCACAGTTATGAAGTAGCAACGAAAATCGTTTTATGGCCGGGGGTTGCCACAACATGAGGAACCGTATTAAAGGGTTGCAGCCTTAGAAAGGTTGAGACCCACTGTTCCAAGACTTTCAGGGCTGGTGGGGGCTCGGGGCCATGTGGCTTGAAGATGCACTTCTCTGGTCTCCCCAGTGGCTGCTTTTCAGCTTCCGTGAAAGGACCCTCTCCTTAGGGGCACACTGGGAATTTGTATCAGAGCCATCTAGCCCAATGGGATTTCTCAGCTCATTCACAGTACAGAGCCCTATTCCAAATGAGGGAATATTGACAGGGCATGGACATATCTGTGGGGGTCTGGGGGTCATAGTTCTGCAGAAGAATTAAAAAAAAAAAAAGTAGCAAAACCAGCAAGCCAGGTGGTGGTGGCGCACACTTTTAATTTCAGCGCTCGGGAGGCAGAGGCAGGCAGATAGATCTCTGTAAGGTTGAAGCTAGCCTGGTCTACAAAACTAGTTTCAGGATACTTAGGCTGTTACACAGAGAAACCCTGTCTTGAAAAACAAAAACAGAAGAAAGAAAGAAAGAAAGAAAGAAAGAAAGGAAGAAAGGAAGGAAGGAAGGAAGGAAGGAAGGAAGGAAGGAAGGAAGGAAGGAAGGAAGGAAGGAAGGAAGACCAGAAAAACCTGAGTGATGCAAGAAGAGACCGTGGGCTGAGAAGCACTTTGGTAGAACTCTGGTCTGGCTGCCAGTCTAACTCCTACATTTCAGAGCTAGGAAGGAGTGGGTGCAGCTCTGGAGATAGCTATAAGGATCTTATGCCCTGGTAAACAGCTTGTTGAGATAACTCCCTCCCACCTGGATACTTTTCTGGCTCCGTGAAGAGCAGTTAGGGAGGTGGGAGGGCGACAGCAGGGCTTGTTCCCACTCGCTCGGAGCCATGCCTCCGATTGCTCTAACTCCACCTCAGGACATGTGAGACCCAAGGTCTAATTAAAGATCCCGGGGGCCCAGGAGCACCTGCATGCTTCCAAGTCGTAGTTACCTTGAGGGAAAGATGTACGGAGCCAGACAGGAGCCAGACAGCGTGTGTGTGTGTGTGTGTGTGTGTGTGTGTGTGTGTGTGTGTACGTGTACCACCCTCAACCTTCAACTCCTGGGGGCCAGTGACTCACAGGTGTAGGAGCTGACTGGGTGGCACCGTGGCCTGGTTTAGGAGGGAACCGAAGCCGCTTAAGGGACTTTTAGAAGGACACTTGGCCTTTGCGTCAGACCCCAGACCTTGGGGTTTTCAGAGGGCTGGCAAAACCCAGAGGGCCCCCGGGGCCCGTGTCAACCCTGCTCCTTCTTGTCTTGCAGATGGCAGTTAAGATACCATGGCTTCACAAAGCCTCTCTGGCTCCAGGTGCCGCCGGGCCCTACCTTCCTCGGCTCCTCTTTCTCTCCTCTCTCCCTCCTATTGAGGCCCGTGAAAAAGCAAGCGACTCAGGTTGGGTTGAAATGAAACAGGAGGCACGGTGGCCATGGCTGTGGCTTCAGACTGCCTGGAGCTGAAGCGTGGAGACGTTGCCATGGAAACCCTGAGGTCTTTTTCCCACGAGGAGCATTAGAAGCGCGTGGGGGGGGGGGCAGGGAGCAGAGTGTATCGAGGGTGCCAGGGTTGCTGGATGCGGGGCTGGGAGAAGGGTGTGGAGTCGGAGTGTTGGGGCAGGATGTAACTGGATCTTCTCTTTAGAAGGTCACAAAGGGAGCAGGATTGCTTCCCCTGGGAGCCTTTTTACTCAGGTATCATTCTAAGGTTTTGGTGAGACAGTCACGTGTTTATCTGCATAGGCTGGGATCAGGGAGACACAGGGCTGATGCATCCCATGTCCCCCAGCCTGCGGGAAACAACACGGCCCAGCCATGGACCTTGTGTGTGAGCATTCAAGGACCCACTTGGCATGACCTCATCCTCCCAAAGAGACAGCGTTCTATCCAAGCTGGGAAAAGTGTACCTGGCTTGCAGAGACAAGCTTTGAACCTGCTTCCACCCAGTGCCAGCCCTGTGTCTCAGCCAGGTGCCAGGGGAACAGCTCTTGCCTCAGGAGGGAAACTGAACTCTGCTGCTAGCTAGCTATTTCACAGGAAAAGGGCAGGTCCTGATCCCAGGGCGCTCTCTCTGTGCCCTGTGACCCCGGCATGCTCCCCTGGCCTAGCTGTTCTGTGGGTGGTGACCACTCAAATGTGAGGCACACAGCCCTGCCTGGCTGTCACAGGCTCTAGGGTGCTGGGGAAGAGGCAGCCAGGCCAAGAGTGGTGGTTTTCTGGTTTGGGAAGAGAATATCACCATAGCAAGGATAGCTAGAGGTAGCCTTTAATTCCAGCACTCGGGAGACAGAGGCAGGCAGATCTCTGTGAGTTCGAGGCCAGCCTGGTCTACAGAGCGAGTTCCAGGACGTCCAGAGCTACACAGAGAAATTCTATATCCAAAAAGGGGGGTGATGGTGGGAGGCTGGAAAGATGGCTTAGTGGTTAAGAGCACTGGCTGCTCTTCCAGAGGACCTGGGTTCAATTCCCAGCACCCACATGGCAGCTCACAACTCTCTGTAACTTCACTTCCAGGGGACCTGACACCTTCACACCAATGCACATAAAATAAAGTTAATTAAAAAAGAAAGAAAGAAAGAAAGAAAGGGAGCTGAAGAGATGGCTCAGTGGTTAAGAGCAGAAGTTGCTCTTCCAGAGGACCTGGGTTCAATTCTCAGAACCATCTATAACGGGATCGGATGCCCTCTTCTGCCATGCAGACAGACATACAGGAAGACAGAGCACTCATATACATAAATAAATAAATCTTTAAAAAAAAAAAAAAAGCCGGGCGGTGGTGGTACATGCCTTTAATCCAAGCACTCGGGAGGCAGAGGCAGGCGGATCTCTGTGAGTTCGAGGCCAGCCTAGGCTACAGAGTGAGTTCCAGGAAAGGCGCAAAGCTACACAGAGAAACCCTGTCTCGAAAAACAAAAACAAAACAAAACAAAACAAAAATAGCTATTTCGGGTCTTGGCTCCAAGAACACCCAAAACAAAGCAAAAGAAAAAAAAAAAGGAAAAAGGGCCAAAAAGGGCCACGGCCACGTGCAGCCAATTCACTGCAAGAACTGTGTCCGGTGTGTGCCCAAGGACAAGGCCATTAAGAAGTTCGTCATTCGGAACATTGTAGAGGCCGCTGCCGTCAGGGACACATCCAAAGCAAATGTCTTCGATGCTTATGTGCTTCCGAAACCCTGTGTCAAGCTGCATTACTGCGTGAGCTGTGCTATTCAGAGCAAGGTAGTCAGGCCTTTGAAGGACTGAACACCCCCACCATGATTTAGACCTGCTGGTGCGGCACCACCATTTCCACCAAGGCCCGTGTAAAGAGGTGGCTTCATAAAGGCAGAAGAAAAAAAAAAAAAAAAAAGAAAAAAACACCTTGGAAAGATAAAATGGGACTTACACTTTATGTAGTAAAGCCCCTGTCCTGCAAGCCCAGGGTTTCCAACCTCCAGGACACACATCAAAGCCAGACACTTGCATGTCTGTAATCCCAGCATGCCACATCTGTAATCCCAACATGCCACATCTGTAATCCCAGCATGCCACATCTGTAATCCCAGCATGCCACATCTGTAATCCCAGCATGCCATGCTGGAGATGGGAGGCAGAGAGACTTGTGGGACCGTTAGCCTGGTGTACAAAGCAATGAACAAAGGGCCCTGTCCAAACAAGGTGGGAGGTGAAGACCGCCCCCCCAAGGTTGTCCGTGACCCCCACATGGGTGCCATTACACGTGTGCCGGCACAAACACACGAAAACCCAAGGCACGTGCATGTGCGTGTGCGTGTGCGTGTGTGTGTGTGTGTGTGTGTGCAATATGCTCACGCACACAAACTAAACCAACTGAAGACAGAATGGCTGGGCAGTCCTGAGGGGCTTGCGGCAGGGCTGACCGGCCAGGCCAAAGTCTTGTGTCTGAGCTTGCATGTGGGCATCCACACACTAGCTCCCTCTTCGATTTGTTCATTTATGTACACAGGGTCTCACTATGCGTGGTGGTTTGAATAGGAACGGCCCCCACAGACTCCTGTGTTTGAATGCTTGGACGGCAGGGAGTGGCACTATTAGGAGGTGTGGCCTTGTTGGAGTAGGTGTGGCCTTGTTGGAGTGGGTGTGGCCTTGATGGAGTGGGTGTGGCCTTGTTGGAGGAAGTGTGTCACTGTGGAGGTGGGCTTTGAGGTCTCATATTATGCTCAAGCCAGGCCTAGTGACACAGTCTCTCCTGCTGCTTGAGGATCAAGATGAAGAACTCTCAGCTCCTTCTCCAGCACCATGTCTGCCTGCATGCCACCAGGCTTCTCGCCATGATGATAATAAACCAAACTTCTGAAACTATAAGCCAGCCCCAATGAAATGTTTTCCTTCATAAGAGTCGCCATGGTCATGATGTCTATTCACAGCAATAGAAATCTCAACTAAGACACTATGTAGCCCAGACTAGCCTCTAATTTTGAGTACTCCTTCTTCTGCCTCCCGAATGCTGGAATTGTAGGGCTATGCTACCACACCTACAGTCTGGATTAACCTCAAACTCTCAGTCCCCCTGCCTCAGCTCTTGGCCCCTGGCTAGAATTTCAGGTATTTGCTGAAACTCTCGCTCATCTCCTTCTTAGAGCTGGTCGTCTCTGTCTTCAGGTGTGCTGCATAGTTTTATGTCAACTCGACACAAGTTAAAGCCATCTGTGAAGAGGGAACCTCAGTGGAGAAAGTGCCTCCATTAAATCGGGCTGTACACAAGTCTGTAGGGCATTTTCTGAATTAGTAAATGATGAGGTAAGACCCAGCCCATTGTGAGTGGGATCATCCCCAGGGCTGGTGGTCCTGGGTTCTATAAGAAAGCAGGCTGAGCAAGCCATGAGGAACAAGCCAGTAAGCAGCACCCCTCCACGGCCTCTGCCTCAGCTCCTGCCTCCAGGTTCCTGTCCTGTTTGAGTTCCTGTCCTGACTTCCGTTAATAATCAACAGTGATGTGGAAGTGTAAGCCAAATAAATCCTCTTCTCCCCAAGTTGCTTTGGTCATGGTGTTTCATCACAGTCATAGAAACCATAACTAAGACAGCAGGTTTCATTTCTGATTTCAAGTGTTCAGGAGGATATATCTAGTTCTGGGCCAAGCACCTGCCATGTTGGATGAGATCTTTGTATGCTAACAGCCTGTCTGGGCCTGGGAAACAGTTCCTGTGAGTATTAGGAACACCACATCTGAAATTATTTTTTTCCATTGGGTGTGGGTATGTGCATGTGAGTGCAGTGCCCACAGAGGCCAGAAGAGGGTGTCAGATCCCCTGGAGCTGGAGTTACGCACACAGTTGTGAGCCCTCATGTGATAGGATTTGAACTCAGGTCTTCTGCAAGAATAGCCAGTCAGTGCTCTTAACTAATGAGAATTTCTCCAGCCCCCCAGAAATGTGTAGAAACAGGAGTGTAACTGTGGTAGACCTGTGGTTAGTGGTTAGTGTATTCGAGGCCCAAGGCTTACTCCCTGGCATTGAAGTACTTTGACTATTTGTGGTTGTCTTTGTTTCCACCCTCTGGCCTGAACATCTGGAAAAGCAAGCCCTCTCTGTGAATCTCCACAGCCCAGCACTGTCCTGAGCAGGGAAGCTGATCCTTGAATGGTTAGACCCAGGAAGTTCCCGAACTGGCAGCCGCCTCCACCTCCACCCATTGAGATGCCCTGGAGCGGGGACCTAGAAAGTACAGGATGTTGATGAGGAAGACTGAGTTCTGAGGAGAGGTGGCTCCAGCCATGCCAGTTTCAGAATCAAGGCTTTGGATGAAGCTCCAGGTGCCAAAAGCTCTTGGTCACAAGAAGGTTGCTGTGTCTTCCCACCTTACCTAGGCAGCCGACATCCAAGGATGTCGAGGAGCAGGATTGCTTCTGCACAAACTCCCTTGGAAGACAAAGCCTCACATAGGCCAGGCTGGCCTTGAACTTGCTGTCTAGTTGAGAATGGCCTTCTGCTTCACTGCCCATGCTATAGGATTACAGGCATGGACCACCGCGCTAGATTTGCAGGCTCTTTTTTTTTTATTAGCGAGGAAACGCCCCCCAGAATTCTCTCAACATCTTATTGGTCAGAACTTGGTCACATGTCCTCTCCTCGGCATGTGATCATAGGGAGAGGCATGGTATGAGCCCGGTTGGCTTAGACAACGGGGATTTTTTTTTTTCTCCTGCTGGGGCCTTAGGTTCCCCTTTTTTGAACATGTGTGGCTACGCGGGGCGGAGCAGGGGGCTGGGGTGAGTCAAGCCTCAGCCTGCAAGAAGGGAGAGCGAATGGAAGCTGCAGAGCATGCTTACGATCCCAGCATTTTGGAAGCTGAGGCAGGAGGATGGTCTCGAATTCAAAGCAAGCCTGGTCTACCCAGCAAGGCCCTGCCTTAGAACACAAAATACAAGAGAAAAAAAAAACAAGGAAAGGAAGGCTAGGGATGCCAATCAGTGGTACAGTGCTTGCCTCCTGTGCCCGTGGCCCTGCGGGGATGAAAAGGAGATGGTAGGAGAGAATTTGGGAAAGCTACTAATGGCGCCTGTAGTGCATGCTTGTTGCCACACTCCCCAAAATCCCTGGGGCACATCAGCCCCGCCCCGCCCCGCCCCCGCGCTGTCTAGTGCTGAGCCCTCCACTATGTGTCAGCGGTGGCTGTCCCACTGGTGAGCCGTACCATCTCATCACGGCTCTTGTGGCTGGAGCCTTTGACACCATCTCGGGAGTCCTGGGCACTCCCCCCCCAGCACCCCCGCCCCCCCGCGGCACCGAGAGCTGCACAGGTTGGGAGCCTCACCGCAGCCAGGGAGTGACTGATGTCAATGGAATGCGACTGAGGACCCGGGGGACATGATGGTGCAGGGAGTCATCACGTGTGGGATCACTTGGGACAGAGTCCGGCTTGTTAAGTGTAAGTAATGGAAGCCAGCCATCGTGGCGCACGCCTTTAATCCCAGAACTCAGGAGGCAGAGGTACGCAGATCTCTGTGAGTTCAAGGCCAGCCTGATCTACATACATGGTGAGTTTCTGAACAGCCAGGGCTATACAGAGAGACCCCTCCCCGGCCCCCAAAAATGGCTACCTTCACTTCTTGTTGCTGTGATACAATACCCTGTCAGATGCACCTTAAGGGAAAGAGAATTTGTTTCCACTCAGTGTGAGGGTACCGCCCATCCTGCGGAGAAAGTCCTGACAACAGGATTATGAGGCAGGTAGTCATATTAGACCCAGAGTCAAGAAGCCGAGAGCCATAGTTGCTGGCACTCAGCTCCCTCTCTCCAGTAGTCCATTACCCAAGCCCATGAAATGCCCACAACAAAGAGGGCAGGACTTTCCACCTCAATTAACCTCATCAAGATAATCTGTCACACACCTGGCCAGAGGCTAACTTACTCTAGATAACCCTTCCCAGGAATACCCGGAGGCTATGGTTCAATCTCCTAGCCCAGGTGCCTGGGACCCAGAGAGGTTCCCCAGATGACCGGGTGTCTTTTGTACTGGGGCACGGGAGTTAGTTGGAGTTCTCTCTTATCTCCCGGTGCTTCGCCGGTCCTGTGACCCCGCCCTTCCCTGTAGCTTTCAACGTTGGTTATAAAAGAGCTCCGGAGGGCTCCAAGGGGGCTCCAGAGCCTCACTGGGAGGAACCCTCCTCCACCCGCCGCTCTCTGCAGCCCCAGCCCTGCACCCCAGCTACTCCCCCTGCTCAGAACACTTAGGACTAGGGGTAGAATCCGAAGGCTCAGCAGCCTGTCTTCCCTCCCTCTTACTGATGCTGTTCAACTCGGATGCTGTTCGTATTGACCTGCTTCTGAGTGGGGAGGTAGACTGTGTGCCGCCCCCCCCCCCCTCCGCTGGTGACTGTCATCCATTCCATCCTTGGGGTAGAGGTGGGGAGGATCTCTCATGGAGGCTAGCCTGGGCTACAGAGTGAGCCCCCCCCCCCTCTCTCTCAAAACAAAATCACCCAGCCCAAACCAAATCAATCAGCTAGCTGGTGGCCTGAGGGGTCATAGAGGGACTCCTGGGGGAGGTGGGCAGTGGGGATGGGTCACCTCCCAGTGACGCCTCCACAGCTTAGGGACACTAGGGCCCCCAGGAGTGTTCCCAGTGTGAATGCATCTCTTGGAGCAATGCGGTATCTCTTCTTTCACATCTTATTCATTGAAGCAGTGGTCCCAGGGTCTGTGTGAGAGGGAGGGAGACAGCATTGGCTGTGGGTGACTGAAAAAACGCCATAGAGCATCGGGAACCACAGCCCACTGTCCCTCTGTGTCCTCTCCATCTCTCCCAGGGCCATGTCTAGCCTGAAGTGGGAGTACCAGGAGGCTGCAGGGTGTGTGGGGGAAAGGGTTGGTCACTCAACAGTACCACATACTCGGAACCCTTCTAGAAGTCTCCACTCATCCTTAGAA